TGTGGGTCACTCCCTGGCTGGGGATGGAACTCGTGCTGCAGAGGCTGCGACAGCTTCATAGGTCGCGTCGTCAGCCCTTGGCCACCAGGGAGGCCCGCCATGACCATTGCTTCAAGGTTGTCTGGGGTTAGGTTTTCTGTCCAGCTTCACAGACTGTGACCTTTAGTTGTGGCTTTAGTCCACTCACATTTCATGTCAGGCCCTTTGGGGTCTGTCTGCCACTCGCTTCCTCCGCCCGCCCCGGCCTCCCTGCTTTGCCCACTTCTTTTGGGCGAGCGAAGCGTCTCGCTCTGCCGTCCCCTCCCGCGCTGCGAGGCGTCCTTGGGCCTTCCCGGAAGGGTCAGACCTCAGCAGCCACCTGCCCCGCGGCCCACGCGAGGCCCCTGGCGCCGAGGCCTCACCTCACTCGCTGCCCGCCCGCCGCCCTGCCTGGGTGAACGCCGTGTGCGTTTCCAGCGCCATCGGCCCTGGCGTTGTTTTAAATAGTTGTGTTTATATTTATCTGCACGTTTATTTTTCCAGTGCTCCTGCCTCTCCCGGCGCCTTCCTCCCCTCCTCCCAGGCCAGCTCCTCCTGCGGCTTCCGTCTGTCGCCGGCTCGGGGGATCCTCGCAGTGCACCCCAGACGCGCCCTGCGCTCCCCGGCGGCCCCACACGCGTTCACACTCGCCCCCCCCCAGCGTGACTCCGCCCGCCTCCTCGGGCCGCCTGGATGCTCACGCGCGGTAGCCCCAGGGCACGGCTCTCCCGTCTGTCCTGAATGTCTGCTTGAAGCCCTCCGGTTTGGGGATTTGACACTTTTCGTTCATTCTGGTTTCCGCGTCTTGCTGCCCCCGCATCCTGCCCCCTCCTCTGCCCGGTGTCCCTGTGGGCGCTGCCGCTCGGCGCTGCCTCCGTCTGGCCCCGCTGGGTCTCGCTGGCGGCTGGATGCGGGAAGCTCCTGAGCAGCGCGGGGCAGGGCGCCCTGGGGTCCGGACTGCAGTGGTGTCCAGCGGGCGTGCCCTGCACATGAGAACCAGATTCTTTTTTTTTAAGATTGATTTATTTATACAAGAGCTGGGGTACAGGCCAGAGGCGCAGGAGGGTGAGAGGACTCACCAGAGACAGAGCGGGGAGCAGAACAGGCAGAAGGACCGAAAACGCTGCTGAGGGGAGCAGCGGGGAGACAGGAAAGGTCTGCTGTGCCATGTGGGTAGCTCCCTGGCCGGCCGGGAATCAAACTGGCGCTGCAGAGGCTGCAGACAGCTCCACAGCGCGGGGCTCAACCCGCTGCAGCACCGGGGAGGCCCGAGAACCAGATTCTTGACCTCATTTGTTAGATTCTTGACATTTCTTCCTGCGTCTCGTCCTGTTCCTTTGAGCAGCTGACGCTGCCACGGGCCCTTCCGCGTGGCCGCCCTCCGGGCCCTGGCCAGTGCCGTGGCCTTAGAGAGGGGCAGCTCCTGCCGCAGCTCCCCACATGCCCGCCTCCCCAGCATCATGGCTCCGCGCATCCAGATGTCCAGCCCCAGGTCTCACCCCAGGACGGCGTGTGCCCCTTGGCAGCTCCCAGTGCACGGAGGCGAGTCTACGACTGCCAGCCCCACTCGGCCCTCTGGGGATGGGCCTGCCTGGGGTCCAGGAAAGCGTCGCCCAAGTCCCAGGAGTTCATGGACGGGAAGGCCGCGGGCCTGGGGTCTCCCGGCAGGGGGGCAGGGGCGGGAGAGGGTGTGGTGGCTGGGCAGGCCCCGGACGGGAGCACCCCCGGCCTCCCCGCTGCTCCCAGCAGCCCCCCAGCCCCTGGCACCCCCGACCAGCCTGGCCGCAGGGGTCTCCAGGCGAGGGTCCAGCTCGACCACCCAGATGGAGGCAGCCCCTGTGCTGTGGCGGGGCCTTGGGTGCCCAGGGAGCACCCTCGCAGGGCCTGGAGATGTGAGGAGGGTCGCGCGGGCCCAGGGTGGGGGGCCACGGGGTTGGGGGGTGCTCAGGGCTGGGGGTGCGGGACCGGATAGCTCCGTCGTGGTCTCGGCGGTTCCCGCAGCGGCGGCGCCTCCGGGTGCTGGTCCACCATCTGCCGGTTCTCTGGCGAGTGTCTGTTCAGATCTTTTGCCCATTTTTAAAACTCGGTTGTTCATTTCCCGCCGAGTTGCAGGCGCAGCTGCTCCGTCCTCCGTGGCGCGGGCGGCGTGTCCCTCCCACGGCCGCCCTGTCCTGGGGCGGCGTCTGGTCCCGGCACACCCTCGCCTGCTGCCGCCCTGGCCGGGGCTGAGCTTCTGGCTGGCCCCGACAGCCGCGGTTTTCTTCCAAAAGTGTTCAGTTTGGCTGCTTGTGGTCAGCGCCCCGGCTCAGATGCTGCCCCCGGCCCTGTCCCTCGGCGGGCCCGTCTGTGCGCTGGCATGTGCCCCCTCCCAGGTCCTGCGGCTGGCCCTTCCCCACCGTTGGGCTCTCAGTTAACAAGCGGCGCCCACCCTAGTGGGGTGGAGGTCCCCAGGCCCACGCGGGTGGGGGCCATCTGAGCCTGTCACCCAGGGGATCCCAGACATGCCGAGCTGCCGTGTGGGGCCTGGCGGGTCCGTGGCCGGGGCGAGCAGTAGAGAAGGCCCGGGGCTCCCCAGGCCCAGCCAGAGGCCCCGGGCGGTGAAGCGGGGCGCCCCTCAGCCCCGGCCACGCCACCTCCTCGCGTTCTCAGACAGGGTTGAGCCAGGGTTGAGCCGCGGCGGTGACGTCCTGGGGACGCATCAGGACCGCTCAGGCCGGGCTCCCTGCCCGGGGGCAGCCTCTCCGCACGTCCAGACTGTTGCTCCCGCCCGCCACTACCCACCCGGCCCTCCAGACCCTTGCTCCCGCCCTCTCGGGCCCCGCCAGCCTCCCGCGCCAGGCCCTCCCGCCGGGACGTCCGCAGCCCCTGCACCCTTCTGGCCGGCGCGGGCGAGGCGGGAGCAGCACGCGGGGGACGCACCCTCTGCCCCGTGGCTGGGGACTCGCTGCTGCAGACGAGCGGCTGTCCCGGGCTTTCCAGTGAGCCCCGGTGCGCGTGACCTCCCTGCCCGACGGACCCTCCCGCTGCAGACCGCCGACCGCAGGGCCACTGCGGTGGACGGGTATCCAGCCCTGGGCCTCGGGCACCGCCCCCAGGCTGCCGCACGCACCCCTGCCCCAGCCCACCCCAGCCCCCGCCACCCTGGCCATGACCCATGGAGACCCGCAGGGCCCCCTCCCGACCTGTGGCGTGTCTCCCAGCCCGGAGCACCCTGGCTGGGGCGGGGTGCGCAGACGTGAGCACCTCTCCAGATGCGGCTCCAGGGTATTTTTAGCCGCGCAGCAGCCGGCACCGTGGAGCAGAAATAGCAGAGCCTCTGGGTTCTGATCTGTCTCTGCTCTGGGGGTGCGGCTGGGCTGGGGGCGCAGGGCGGCATGGACCCGTGTGCCCCGAGGTGCCAGGGCGGCACTCTCTGCCCCAGCCGGCGGCAGTGTCGGGTGAGCAGGCTTTAGGAAACCATCAACTGTTTCTCTGTGCTCCCCGAGGCCTGTCATTCCCGAGGTTCTCCATACACCCCCGATCTGATGTGGCCGCAGCCTAACTGGGGTGTCTCTTGCTGCGGGAACCCCATGTCCTGGACTCGGCCACAGTGAACTGAGGGCACGGCACCCTCTGCACCCTGGGGGACAGGGAAGTGGCCAGGGGCCCCAGGTGGGGTTCAGGTGGCTCCAGGGGGTGGTTCTAGGCACCGAAAGGGGGAGGCTTGAGCTGTCCCCCGTCCCCGGAGCCTGGTGCTGCAGTGACAGGGCTTGCTGCTCCTCCCACCACCCCAGGCTCTGGAAAGCTGGGGGCTTGGTGAGGGCAGGGCTGGCCAGAACCTTCCTCTCCACCCTCCCTCCTCAGGCCTGTGTGGCTCCTCCTGGCCAGGCTCGGGTGTCCCCCCTGGCAGGGGTGGTAGAGCCAAGGGGCCAGTGATCCTGTGACCAGCCCTGGGCTGGCTGGAGAGCAGCCTGGCCCAGAAGGTTCTCCCAGCCGCCCCCTTCCACCCAGGGGCCGAGACCGCTGAGGAAAACCACAGCCCGAGGGCCTTCTCCGCCTGCCGACCCTCCTGCCTGCTGTCTCTACCTGCCCGGCAGATGTGCGGCCGCCCTGGAGCAGCTGGGATTCAGGGAGGACAGCTGGCTGGGCGCAGGCGCCCTCCCGGGAGGTGACCCAGAACCACCCAGGTGCTGGGACTCAGGGAGCAGCGCCCCCCGTCCTGTCCAGGCGGGCACGACAGCACAGGCCTGGGGAGGTGCTGGGTGCCGCGGGCCTGGGGGTGCAGAGCTGGGCGCCACCCACGAGGAGCTGTGCCCGCCTGGCCCCTGCCGAGCCATCCATCTCAGCCTCCTGCTTGTGGGCGACTGGGAGGCCCCGTGCCCCCACCCCACCTGGGAGAGACCCACCCAGTGCCCAAGGCCAGGCCAGGCCGGGGTGAGTGGTCAGGAGGGGATGTGGAGCGGGGTCTGGGCGTGGCGGGTGCAGGGGTGGGCTGTCTGACCTGAGAGCTCGATGTCATGGGGCATTCAGGTGGGTACTGCAGGCCTCTCCTCCCGCCAGCCTCGAGCCACAGGGCTGGCTGCTCAGGCCCCACCACCCCCCCCCCCCGCCCCCCAGGTTTGTCAGGAACATCCCCGACAGCCTGGGGCATGGGAGCCAGCCTGGGGACCTGGGAACTCCGGGCCTGCCTCACCCTGTGGGCCGCCTGGGGGTGCGGCTGCCTCGGGCTGGGGGGGCAGTGGAGGGCAGCAGTGGGCCACCCACCTCCCAGGCTTATCTCCATCCTGCAGTGAGTGGGCCGGACTGGCCTCTGTCCCCTCCCTGGCACGGGTCACTTCCTGCCGCCCCAAGCCTCTGCCCAGGGGCACCCCGGCCCCGTTGCCGGCCATCCCTGGCTCTGGCGTGTCCCAGTCCCCCCTGGGGGGCGGCCCCCCGGGAAGGGCAGCTCAGCCGGGCGCACGGTCCGGCGGTGGTGGTGCCTGAGCCAGCGTCTGTGCCCGCAGTGCCGGAGAAGCCGGAGCCCGTGCCGCTGGAGAGCCGGTCCTGCGTCCTCATCCGCCGCGACCTGGTGGCCCTGCCCGCCAGCCTCATCAGCCAGATCGGGTACCGCTGCCACCCCAAGCTCTACTCCGAGGGGGACCCGGGTGAGAAGCTGGAGCTGGTGGCAGGTGAGGCCTCCCCCTTGTATGCAAATGTCCTCCTTTGTGTTTTCTGGGAGCCGCGAACAATGCGCTCATCACCAGTCAGTCAGGAGAGAGAGACGGTAGATGTCTCCAGTTCCCCTGTAGAAGAATGCGTCACTGCGTCACTGCCCGCGTTACTCAATTGAATTAACTTAGCATTTTCATCCCCCCCCCCCCCGGGGTGGGCGTAATCCGGGCTCGCCCTCCCGCACGCCTCGGCCTGGCCAGCAGCGGACCCTGGTCAGAAACCTCCTCCCGCGGGTTGGGCCCCGTGGCCGCCCGCCCGCTTGCTCACGGCAGTCTCCGGGAAGCTGGGCGGCACGCGGGGCCCTCAGCCTCCCTCCCTGGCGCACCGCAGAGACCCGGCAAGGCCCTGCCATCTGGCACTGCTCAGCGCCCCTCTTGGGGCTTTGCTGGGGGCTCCTGTCCCCCCCAGGGACAGGAGAGGCAAGGAAGGCGACTGGCCAGGCCGGACAGGGGCTGTGCCCTGCACCCCGACTAGGCAGGGGCTGTGAAAGTGGGGGCTTCTGGAGCCTGCAGGGGGTGTGGGGGGAGTCTCTGGGCAAGGGGCTTGCCTGGGGGTCCGGGAGAGGCCTCCTGCCACTGCCTGTCAGGGGTCAGTGCTAGGACTAGCCCCCAGCGCCTCCAGGGTGCCCCAGGCCTTCAGCTGTGCTCCCCTTAAAGCCCCGTGGCCTGCTGTGCTGTGGGTTTGAGTGCAGGCCTGAGACGGGGTGTGGGGCCTCAGGGGCGCCAGCGCTACCCACCCACCAGACCCCAGGGTGTCCAGACGCAGCCAGTAGCAGTCACTCCCCTGCCAGAGGCTTCCTCTACCCCCGGCACCCGAGAGGGAAGGTGCTGGTCTGCCTGACTGGACGGCGCTAGGAGCCACGAGGCCTGGGCCTGCACCCCAGAGCGGGGCGCGGCTGGTGGTAGCTGCAGCCTGCAGTTTCTTCTCCGAAGCCGGGGTGCCATCCCACTCTGGAGTGCCCTTTTCCACGGATGGGGCCCTTTATAGAGGCTCCTGGGCCCTGGACTGCCCGCCTTGCTGTTGACTCAGCCCTGCTCTCCCGCCCAGGGGCCCCCAGGCCTGCCCACCCAGCCGCTTGGGTGTCTGGGACGGTGGGTCCCAGCTCCGCGCTGGCTGAGCAGGAGCCCCTGGGAGCTGTGAGGGCGGACAGGCCTCCAAACGCGTGCCGGCCACCCCTGGGGCAGCCAGGAGCCAGAGCAGCCTCCTCAACCCCCTGGGGTCCGGCTCACGTGGAGGCCTGCAGGGGCGACTGGGATGCAGCCCGGGGCCTGCTGTGGCCCCTCCCGGCCCTTCCTGCGCCCCCTCTGGCGCGGCCCTCGCTGCCCCGGGCCTGACGGGGCCTGGCCTTGCCCGCAGGCTCCGGGGTGTACATCACCAGAGGCCAGCTCATGAACTGCCACCTGTGCGCGGGCGTGAAGCACAAGGTGCTGCTGCGGCGGCTGCTTGCCACCTTCTTTGACAGGTAGGTCCCCGGGTGTGGGCCGCGCAGAATGTTCTAGAGCCTCCTGGTCAAAGCTCTGCCCACCAGGGCCTTCCCCGCCTCACCAGGGTCCTGGAGAACTGGGGCACCGGGGAGGGGCGGTGCCCTGTGGGCCCGGTCTGGGGGGCCCTGTGGACACCCTCTCCCCACTCCGGCTGCCCCCCCAGCCAGGCGGCCCCTGCAGGGCCCGGGCGGGAACCAGGCCCCGCCGGCCTCACGCCCCTGCCCCACAGGAACACGCTGGCCAACAGCTGCGGCACCGGCATCCGCTCGTCCACCAGCGACCCGAGCCGCAAGCCGCTGGACAGCCGCGTCCTGAACGCCGTGAAACGTAAGGGCGGTGGCTGGGGGGGGGTCGGGGGGCATGGGGGGGCGTGGGGGGTGGCCTGGCAGGGAGGCGGGGACGGGCCGGGCGGAGAAAGAGCAGCGCAGGCAGGTCTCGAGGTGTTGATGTTCTTGGTAGGTTTCCAAGCGTGATGAATTCAGCTGCGAAACTATTTTAATACGTGAAATAGATCTAATTTTCCTTTTTGAACAAACCCCTTATTTACATTTTGAGGTTATTTTGAGCCTTTGCCATCTGCCGGGCGGGCTCCTGCCTCCCGCTGCCAGCGAAGGCGGGGCGCCCCCCAGGCCCCCCAGGCGCCCCCCAGACCCCCGCACCCCCCCCCACCCCAGGGGGAGCCGCGGCCAGGCCTCGGGCCTCCGAGCGGGGACTCGGCTTCTTGCTCGGGAGGCGGGCGGGCCCGAAGCTGGGGGGACTTGCTCCCGGGGCCCGTACCCGCCCCGCCTCGGGCCCCACAGCCCTGGTGAACAGGGGCTCGGGGCTCGGGCGGAGAAAGGGGGGTCAGGCGGCGAGGCCGGGGCCGCGGGGCGCGCCCTCACGCCGCCCCCCGCCCCCCAGTGTACTGCCAGAACTTCGCGCCCAGCTTCAAGGAGAGCGAGATGAACGTGATCGCCGCGGACATGTGCACCAACGCGCGGCGCGTGCGCAAGCGCTGGCTGCCCAAGATCAAGTCCATGCTGCCCGAGGGCGTGGACATGTACCGCTCGGTCATGGGCGCCGCGGCCGCCGGCGCGCCCCTGGACCCCGAGTTCGCGCCCACCGCGCCGCAGGCCTTCGAGCCGCGCGTCTTCGCCGAGCGGCGCGGGGACGCGGCCGCCGTCGTGGCCCTGAGGACGGACGCCGGGGCCGTCGAGCTGGGCGCCGCGGGCGCCGCCTTCGAGGCCGGCGAGGACGCCGACGGCGCGGGCTCGGTCATCCAGGAGGTGGCCGCGCCCGAGCCGCTGCCCGCCGCCGGCCAGAGCCCCGCGCCGCCCTTCGAGCAGGGCGCGGGCAGCCCCGGCCGGCCCCAGACGCCGGCCGCGCCCCGGAGGCAGGAGGGCCCCTTCGCGGCCGCCGTGTAGCCCCTGCATGCCACTAACGACGTGTGACCCGCACTCACCCGACTGCTGCTGTCGCCCGGACAATGTGAGCCCTCTTCTGCTTGTATTTAAAGTCGGTGAAGGAAGCAAACGCATTCATGATACTGTAAACCATCGCCCGGAGGCGGCCGCCCCGCTGCCCAGGTCGGCCTCCCGCGGTAGCTGCCCTCCCGGAGGCCCGCGGCCCGCCCCCCGCGGTGGCCCTCCTGTCCCCCCGCCCTCCCCGACGGCAGCGCCGGCCCCGGGCCAGCCCCGCTAGTGTCCCTTCCCCCTGAGCCCGGGGTCGCCCGCGCGGCCGCTGTGCCGGTGGGCGCGTGCCCGGTGCGGGCGTGCTGGGCGCGGGGGCAGCGCTGACCGGCGCAGGCCTGGGGCAGGAAGGGCTCTGCTGGCCGACCTCTCCCACCCACACCTGGGCTCCCTGTCCCCGGGGTCACCCTGAGACCCGACCCCAGGCCGGGGCCCAGCGCCTGGCACCTGCCGGCTCCCCGGCGGCCCGCTGCCCTGTGGGCCGGGCCAGCCCGCGGCCTCAGCCTCCTCAGCCTCCTTGGGATCTTCTGTTTGTTTTCATCCTAATTCCCATCCGTTTCTTAGATGGTTTGGAGACTTTCAGACCCAGAAAAGCAAAAATCCAGCGGGATGGGTGCCCCTGCCCCCAGCCCACTCGGGCTTGGGGCCAGCCCAGAGCAGGGCCGAGCACGGGGGGCGTCCAGCGTGTGAGGAGAGGGGCTGGCCGAGCCTCGGCTGGTGGGGTCCTGCTTGGCGGGAGGCCGGGGCAGGCCGGCGGTGGTGTCCCCGGGACACGGGTGGGGCTGCGCGGCCGGGGCGCGCAGGCTGCCGGGAGTGTGGCTGCGGTGCTGGCATGGGGCCGCGGGTGCGGGCCGGGACGGCGCGGCGAGGCCCGCGGCTGCAGCGGCCCCCTGGAAAGTCCATCACTGCTTTTGAAGGGAGGGTCACAGCTCGTGGGAAGGGCTTGTGGCCGCTCCTGGGGGCGCCGTGCCCTTGTCCAGGCCGGCCTTCTCCAAGGCCTGCCCAGGCAGCCCGGGTGTGGCCATTCTGGGCCCAGGGGGTGCTGCTTCCCCTTCCCGAGTCCTGTCTCCCGCTGGCACATGTGCTCAGCCGGGGGTGCCCGAGGCCGGGCAGCTCAGGGGGGAGCTGAGAAGCAGAGCTCCCTAGCGGGGCTGCGCGGAGGGCACGTCCCTGCCCGGGGACCCTCCTCCCTGGCCCTGTCCAGGCTGCTTCTCTGAGCTGCCGCCCCTCGGGGGAGGCCTGGGCCCCTGCGCCAGGCCAGACAGCCTCGTCCAGAAAGATGGGTGGCTCCCGCAGGGGGAGGCAGGGGTCCCTGAGAGCCTGGGGAGCCTCGGGCGCTCTCCCGCCGCCTGGCCCGAGCCCTCCTTCCTGGCTGCAGGGCAGCAGCTCCTGCTGGGTTCAGCTCCAGGCTGCGAGCGGCCATGGCCCCCTGGCACCCTCACCCCTACCCGCTGTCCGCCCCAACCCCGGGGGAGCTGGAACTGGCAGGCTGCGGCCAGTCTCCCCGGAGGTGGGAGGCGGCCACACGCCCTTGCGCGCCCAGACGGCTGCGGGGGCCGCGCCCACCCCTCTCCTCGAGTTTTCCTTGGTCTGCCCCCCAAGTTTGCACTTTAGTTTGACCATCCCTGGGGACTCTCGGGACAGCCCGCCTGTCCCGGCCGCCCACTGAAGGGCCCTCCTCCCCCTCCGCTCCAGAGCGGGCGCCCCCGCGGCCTGGACGGGCGGGAAGGCGGGGGTGCACTGATGCCCTTGCGTGTGGGCGGCCCGACCCCCAGGCCGCGGCCAGAGAGCGTTTGCACTAGCGTGCCCCTCGGCGGGCGCGGGCGCAGGCAGAAGCGCGGCGGGCTGGTGACCGCTGTGTCTGCGGCGCACCCCGCGTCCTGCGTGTCCCCGCGCCCCGCGGTGGTGGCGGTGGCCGGAGGGGCCTTCCAGAGTGCCTTAGCGTCTTTTGATCATTTTTCCCAAGGAAACCAATTAAGAGAACCGGCCCCCCTCTGTTTACACGACTAACCCCGTCCTGTGCTCGTGCCCCGCCCCGCCCGGCCGCAGGCCTGACCAGCCCCTCAGCACTCCGCGGCCGCACCCCCGCCTGCCGATCAGCAATACTCGCGCTACGTAGCCTGTTATAGCCTCAGTCATAGCAGCCTCGCGGGGGGGCCGCGCCCCCAGAGTGCCGAGCGGGCCTCGGGGGGCAGCCGGGACGAGTGCAAAGGTCCAGGAGGAGGGACCCCAGTGGACGGATACTGTGAGCTGGGGCCGCCCGGCGGCCCTCGGTACTTGAACTCTTGTCTTGCACTGTGTCTGGCCTCGCGGAGCCCGGCTCTGCGCGGCGCCCGAGCGTATCTTGCCTTGCCCTGAATGTGGGCGCAGCGGTGGGCGCCAGCGGGCGGGAGGCCTGGGGCCCCGCGGGCCCCCCAAGTCCTGGCCCTGGGTGCTGGCGGCCGGGAGGGGAGCGCCCGGCTCCGTGTCTCTTCGGTGAACACGCCTTGTTCTGTGCCGCCTCCGGGCCGGGGGGCGCGGGGGCCGGGGCTGCCGGCCGAGCCACAGAGCCCCACGGCCCGCCCCCGGCTCCCGGGCGCCTGCCCGCGCCGGCCTCCTCGGGCCGGTCATCGGGAAAGAGCTGGCCCAGCCCCGACCCGGCTGCCGGCCCCGCGTCGGCTGCCGCCTCAGAGCGTGGCCTGCGGAGCGCGTGCTCCGGGCAGGGCGAAGGTTCCGGTGGTCGTCTGTCTGTCTGTCTGTCTGTCTTATTTCTGTGGGATAAAAGGAAAAGGAACTTGCGCAGAATCTAAAGCCCCGAGCGACGGCCGCCTCAGCGCCATGAGCTGCTTCCATTGTTAGCGTTTTGCACATGATTGTAATTTTTATGTCAAAAGAAGCCAAAACTTGCAATACTATTTTTAGCAGACAAAAAAAGAACTAAGTGTAAAATGTATAAATATTTTCGACTTGAACATGGATGTCCTGGGTGCGAACAGCCTGCTCCTCCTCCGGACGGGCGGCCCTCCGAGGGCCCCTGGCGGGGGTCGCAGCGCTGAGGCCCCGCCGGCCACACCCCGCCGGCCACACCCCAGGCTCCCGCTCGCTCGTTGTTGGTTGGTTCCAGGAGAGGCCCCGTCTGTCCTCCCGCGCCCGCCCTGCCCCTCGCAGCGACACGGTGGCCGCGGCCGAGGCTGTCCGCACCCCGGCGCAGAGACCCGGCCGGACCCGGCGTCGGGCCCCAGGGGTTCAGGGGCGGAAACCGCCCGGACAGCAGGACGCGATCTCATTGTAAAGCGCTTTGTAAAATTCCCATTTACAAGATAATAAAGTCAGTTTCAACCCAACCTGCCTTTATTTTGCTTGACCTGCGGGGCTAGGGGAGACTGGGGTGCAGGGTCACCCCCCATCCTCGGGCCCTGAGGAGGGGCTGGGCCTCCCCGGCTGGATGCCCACTATTTTCACCTGATGCGCACCCCGCACGCCCAGGTTGGGGCAGGTGGACGTGACGTCCTGCGGGGTCACGGGGTGCGGTGGGCGCCCCGGGCGCCGGTGGAAGCGGTGGGGAGGGCGCCCCTGTCCTCTGTCGTCTGCAGGCTGGGGCAGCCGCCTCACCCGCCTCACCCGCAGGTGTGCCGCAGCCTCCCCCACCGCCTCCGGGCAGGTCCCCCCAGGCGGATGGAAGGGGAATTGCAAAAGGACAGGGCGGTCTCAGGTCCACTGGGAACCCCCATCTCCCAGGTGTCTCTGGAACCCCATAGGGGCCCCCCAGAGCCACGGCCAGCACACCCCAGCACACGGTCTGCAGCAGATGGCCGCGCTTTCTTTTTCTTTCTTTCTTTATTTTTTAGATTTATTTAGTGATTTATACAAGAACCGGGTACAGGCCCGATGCCGGGAGGGTGAGAGGACTCACCAGAGACAGAGCGGGGAGCAGAACAGGCAGGCTGACCAAGTACACCGCTGAGGGGAGCAGCGGGCACGACAGGAGAGGTCTGCGTGCCATGTGGGTTGCTCCGAGGCTGGCAGGGATCGAACCAACACGGCAGAGGCTGCGGGCAGCTTCACAGCGCGGCTCTCAACCTGCTGCGCCACCAGGGGAGGCCCTGGTCATGGTTTCTATCTGTGTCCTCTGCGCAGGGGACTCTGCAGCAAGGGTGTGGGGTCACTTAGGCTGCCCCCGGGGGGAGGGCCGGTGATTCTGTCCCCGCCAGGGATGTCCGAGGAGCCCGTCCCCGTCCCGCTCCCAGTCCAGCCCAGGCCGCCCGGGAGGTGCTTGGCCTCTGTTCCCCGCTCTGGGGCTTGTTCCTTGTGTACTGGGGGACGGTGTCGGGGGGCCCAGCTCACCGGAGCCAGCCAGCCTGCACCTACCCTCCCCCGCACCCGGGCTGCACATGGGGAAGCCCAGGGCCTGTCACAGCGCCCCAGAAAGGGCCCCGGGGAGCAGGTGCCCCCGGGGGAGCCGGGGCCTGGGACGCGGCACCGTGACCCCACTCACCACAGGGCGGGGCCGCGGTCGGCAGGCACGGGCTGGCCGAGACCCCCGCCCCGCCGCACGCGATCCGCCTAAAAGCTCGGCCCGGCTGAGGCGGCCCCTCCACACCCGCCCTTCCCGGAAGGCCGGCGGCGCGGCTCCTGCGGTAGAAGCCAGGCCCGCCGGCCACTTGCCGCGGAGCGGGGCGCCCAGGACAGGCGGGCAGTGGGCGGGGCCGGGTCCCCGGGTCGCCCCGGCTGGGAGCGGGGGTCCTGGCTCGCCTGGCTGGACTCGGCGCCTCCCGCCTAGACGGGCCACACTGATTGCTCCTGGGGCTCGGGGGCCCACTAGGGGCCCTCTCGGGCAGTAGGGTGCACAGCGGCTTCTCGGGGATCCCCCAGGGCGCTTCTGTGCCAAAAACCCGGGAGCCGCACGGGGCTCGGCCGACGGCCTGGGCTGGGGCCGCGGGAGGCGCCTGCGCATTGGGCATGTCCCGCTGCCCGCTGGGCCCATGGGCAGTGCCGGGCCAGGCAGCAGGACTCAGCCGCCGCGGGCCACCGGGGATGGAGGCCCATGGGCCCCACGTGACAACCGGGAGGTCTTGCCGTGGGGAGGACGCCCCCCGCGGACCGACCCTCAGACACGCCCTGGCCGCATCCACCCT